TCGACATCGGCATAGGGTCGACTCACGTAGAATCATCATGGCATAGCATTAAAACAGTATAGAATCAACTCCGGTGACCCCATAGGCGTAGAATCAGCGTGGCATAAGATCCAAACGGCATAGAATTGACATCGACATCATCACTTCGTAAAATTAGTATGGCATGGGACCGATACATCATAGAGATGATAAAGGCATAGGATCGACACGGCGCTGAAACGACACTACATAGAATCGACTCCGGCATAGGATTGACATGTTGTAAAATTGTCACAGCATAGAACTCGCATTTAACAGAATAAAAACTGGCATAGTATCGATATTAGACACGGTCAAAAACGACATACAATTCAACATAACGTAGCGAAGGATTGCAAATAAAAACGGAATATAATCGAAAAGGAAAAGATTTGATTAAATTTTTATTTTGGGGTTAGTTGCTTAGACACGACAGCGGTATAGAACCGCCATGGGCATAGAATGATACGGGGGTATAAACAATACCGGTTTTTGAGTTGCGGTATCCAACCGAACCTATACGAGCAGAGTGTTAGCGCTTTTATACAGTCTTATTATACCGCAATAGGAAGTTTATTTAGTGTGTGTACTGACGTCAAATGTAAGCAAGTAACTATTATCAGCTTTAAGATGCTGCCTTTGGAAATGTCTGTTTGAATGATATTGGCACGTATTCAATATCCATGTAAGAAAAAGCAAGACAACAGCCATACGGCCAGACCATTCCTCAGAAAATAAAACTAACAGCGTTTAAGGATTTTATGTACTACTAGACTGCAAGAGAAACTGAACACGAAGATAAATTTGTTCTGAGACAGAATCACATTGGCTAAATTTCCAAGCTTGTCTTTTACATGTAAATTCAACCCGAGGGACAAATTTAGCAAATAAAATTTCACCTGACTTAGACAATTTCCTTTCGTTGCTTAGAAACGCGTTATTAGTCTCCTTTTCTTAACCTTTGTAGATGTAAACTCGCTGTGCGAGTATTTCCTTAATAATTAAGGAACAAGAACTTGAATACTTTGTCTCCCTTTTTGAGCATCGTTTTCAGAAGAGTAAACTAATCACTTTCTATATTAAATTCTACGTACGGTTGTTTTGTAATCATCTTTTGGTACGTTTTAGAAACTGCATTATGTTATGTTATTTTTCTTTGTATTTCCTCGCTAGTATTTCGAGAGATGGAAGTGGTTGTGAAATACAGACTATGAAACACGCATTTTAATGGTATCTATTATTTTCATTTACTTTAAACCTCAGCGCCTTTCTTGAGAGAACGAGGAAACCTGCCTAAAAAGACCATTCGTTATTTCAGATAATTTGGGTCTTCTGTGGAAATGGTCGCCTTACAGAAGTGATATTTAATATCTATGTAAACCTTCAAAAGCGGCCACCGTGAGAAATTTTACTGTAAAGTGCAGCCGTATTTTACTTAAACAGGGATTTCCATTAACAATCCGTATATATAATTCTTGTCAAAATACGTGCGTGCTTGATACTTGCTTCTTTCTTAATTACAGAGCTTATTAACACCATAAAAAAGAAGGATCAGATTTGATTATTTAGATTACAGCAAAACATAAAGTCTTTCTACCCAAAGGGGAGGATGCCTTCGAGAAGGACTTTCAAAGGGAAACTCGATTGTATATTTACGTTTTTAAAAAGAATCTCATGTGGATAACACATAAATTCCTTATACTGCTATTAAATTACACACACTTTTTGCTGCACTTCATTTAAACTTATTTCTTCAAATTTCATTAGAGATATATTTCTCATTCAATCAGTTCAGTTCTCTCTTTACGACAAGGCAAAAATACTCAAAAATGTAAAACATTTTCAGTAAAAATTGTAAACTATAGAAAAACCTAAAAGACCAAATGCAGTTTTTTTTAAAAAAAGCAGTGTTTGCAATAAGAGTTTCTACGCCAAAACAAATAATACGGATGGTGGGCAGGAAGACCAAATTTTCGGTGCACAAAATTGAAAGGTAACTTTTCGTTCCGCTGGACAAAAAGACACTCATGTTGGTGCAACAACTAATTTAATTCTCTATTCTACTAAGTGTTTCAAATGTAAACAAATGTTCGCCTTACGCCTATCCTCAAAGCCATCCTAGCTCAAATAACGTAATACCTCATCAGCATGCAAGAAATATAGTTGTCAATCGAAAGCATATTCAAAATATTGAATATCGTATGGATTGAAGAAAGAGTTAAAACAGTTGAATCAACAATAAAAGCTTTACAAAGCTTCAAAATTAACAGTGAATTAAACTGCTGTGAATCTTTCGATGTCATTCTAAACAAAGCGAAATTTTAAAAAAATTTTCTCGCTAGTGATAAATAGTAATAACCTTTTAATAATAAGATATATTCAGTTCAGTTATTAAAAATTTCCATTGACTCACTGTAGGTTTTTGTTAAGAACTTCTTCATTTATACTTTTGAAACATAGGCATTTATCCTAGTATATTTATTCTCTTTTAAGAGTATATTCGAAACTGTCCCGGTTTCAAAATTATACTAGTTTTTTCCAAAATTGTCCGTATTTTTTACTTTCCTTAGACGACGTAAAGAAAGTATTGTAATCACGAAAAATTCTGGATATGCCATTTCGATGAAAAATCCATTTTTACCGCTCTCGAATCCATTTAAACAATTTTTTTCCTTAACATCTGTAAGTACGGACAGAAAAAGAAGGATTCATTTTTCCAAAGCGCATTTTAAAAAGGATTTAAAATGGACGTTTTCCTGACATCTGTACATATATACGTACATACATATGTATGTATCTTGCATAACTCAAAAACGAGTAACCGTAGAACGCTGAAATTTTGTATAAAAGACGCTATAAACTGGTTGTGCACCTCCTTTCCCTTCATGTGACCCGGCTCGGTGAGCTCAGTATTTTTATTCTCGTATGTTGGTAAGTTATGCCTTTTTTGCTTTAAAAGTGGTTTAATTATGTTCCGGGTAAGATTTTATACATTTAGTTAATCTGCATTCAATAGTTGTAGACTTGCTGACATTTTAAAATTTAAGTGGCGCTATGCCTAACGAAACCGGCAGTTGTTTACGTTTGAAACACTTAGTAGTATACTCATATATCTTAAGTCTGTTGGTTAAGCATCAGCTTCTGTGTTTTTTGCCAAGTGGGGCCAAAAGATAAGTTGAATTTTTGTGCACAGAAAATTTGGTCCTCCTGCCCGTTGGCAGAATACTTTCTTTTTGCATAGAAACATTAGAATTAAAGTTTCTATAAATGTTGTTTTATGGTATTTAATACATGGTAAATATTGTTTTTTAACTGTATTTGGTGTTTTACAGGGTTTTTTTTTTTTTTTTTTTTTTTTATTTATTTTGCAATAGTTAATGAAGATATTTTGAACTTTTTAGGACTTTTTGTATTCCCGCGAAGTTATATCTGAACTGATTGAATGAAAAATATTTCTCTAATGAAATTCGAGAAAATAAATTTAAACGGAGCTCAGCAAAAAGTATGTATAATTTAATAGGCCGTACAAAGAAGTCATTTGGTGCCTACATCAGATATTTAGATTCATAGTAAGCTTAACGTAAGGAAGCTGAACAAGCACTGATGAATGATTCGCCATTCAGAGTAGCCGTAATCTGCCAATATCTGGACTAATGCTTCAAAGGCCAATAAACGTGCCAAACAACGTGGAAAAAACGAAGAAGAATGAATACCAAGTTTTATAACTGTGTTTAATAATAATTATAATCAAATCTTAATTTGATTTTTTAATTAAATTTATTATTCACTTTTTTGGTACATGTAACAAAATTAATCATCTTTTTTCTTATTCACCATTCACTTTTTGCACAGTTTTTCAAGTAATCCATTTTTCTTATCGAATCAGATGTAGCGAACCAAACTTCTCGTCCATTGGAGTCATTACATCAAGGTTCGACTGCATTTCTGATTTTCTGTTTATGTTAAAGTAAATTTAGGGTGTTTTACTAATTTATAAGGTATTTCACCCGCCTTCATGCTGTGGTGGTCTGCACGCTGGGCGCCTATTCCAGAGGTCCGCAGTTCGATGCCCGGCGAAGGCGTTGCTAATTTTTCCTCTTGCTTGCTTAAAAAAAAATACCTGATGTTTCTACAGTGGCACCCGAACTAAAAGAGTTGTGGATGATGATTCTCCCCATCCAGTATTTGGCTAATGGGTCCGCTAAAAACCCCAATCGCCCTTTAAAAGAGGGTGTATATAAGGTATTTCTCCCGCCTTCTTGGCATGCCTTGGTGGAGTGGGGGTCTGCACGCTAGGCGCTTATTATAGAGGTCTGCGGTTCGATTGCAGGCGAAGGCGTTGCTAATTTTTCATCTTGCCTGCTTCCATAAAAATATTTAATGGCTCTACAATTCATAATTAATTAGACGGCAAAACACAAATATTTCTATTTCTCAGCTTTCTTATATGAGATGATCATAAAAGTCTCAAATAGATCAGTACTTTTCAGAAACACTTGTCAAAAAAATGTCAATAAGTTTCTAAACTCTGTTGATATATCACCCAAATTCAGTTGCTGATGACAAAAATGAATTATGTTCCCATTATCATATTTATCATTCATTTTTTTCAGTTTTTTATAGTCTTATCAGTGACTGTGACCAATAAAAATGTTTTTGAATATAATTTACTAGCGCATTTATATCTAAAAACATATTGATAATTATTTTTTCCGATTTCTACTTTTAGTAATTATTACATTTTTATACTACGATTGTCAATATTTAATTACCATATACTATACCAGGCGTGGGCAACCTATGGCAAGATTTGGCACACAATGCAATTCTCAGTGGCACTCTGCAAATTTATCACGTAAAGATATATCTTCTCTTTAATGTTCTGAATGAACTATCCGTATAACTTAGTTAACCCACATGCTGTTTTGTTTTTGAGTTCATTTCCAATGAACGCCTTGAGCATTAACATTTCTTTTTGATTTCTCTTTCTAGGTAACCGCCCGGATGACAGGCCATCGAAGAAAAGTCTCGTCAGGCTGTCCTTGCGCTGCATACATCGCAGTCCTGGTCCATCTCCTAATCCACCTGCAGCGGCACTAAGTCGAGCTTTCGTCTTCAGCTCTGGCAAGTTGCGACTGGAAGCGAAGCTGGACAAAGAAGCTTACAAATACGAAGAGACTCTTAATGTGCACGTCTCTTTGGACAACTCCAGTAATCGTACAGTACATAGGGTGCGAGTAGCACTGGTACAACACGTGCATGTATGCATGTTCACGAATGGTCGGTTCAAGAACATAGTTGGGCTCTCTGAAACTGAGCCAGGGCATCCCGTCAGACCAGGATCTTGTTTGTCCAGAGTCTTCTCCGTCCGGCCCGCAGTCCACCTGCGCTATCCTGTAGCACTTGCTGTAGAAGGAGGATTGCCTACTCCCACCCTGCGACTAGCACCTTCAACGGTTCCAGCACTTGCAAAGGAAAAAAATCCGTATGGTGTTACAGTATGTTACGAAGCGAAGGTTAAAGCTTTCTTAGGAGTTGTAGACAGACCTGTTTGCATTCGATTGCCCTTCCGACTCTTAGAAGAGCCACCACCCATTGATGAAGAGACAGTCCCTTTGGCGGAAGAAGAAGACGAAGACAGAGAAACTGTCTTTCCGACGTAGAAAATAATAACTCCCTTACCTCTTTTATAAACCGCATATTTATCCTCGTCGAACATGGGTCCAAACATAAAAACATTTGGAATGACGTCTGTTTAATAGACGTCTATTTTTCCATTTTTCTAATGTGTAGCCTTGGAAAATGTCTATTTCGATATAATCATACGAAGATAAAAACAATACTGGTGTAGAAAATTATTATGATATATTGATAGACCAACTTTTCCAGACTGTCAAATAGATGTGTTCAGACTAAAGTTTTCTTATCAGAATATTTGCATGACTTCTTGTTTTAATCTAATAATAAACTAAGTACTTAAAGCCTCATAATGTCACGTGACCAGCACTCCTTTAACAGTCTTTAGCTAACAACAGAAGTTTCATTAGGAAAAATGGTATAAAATGACTTCTCAGTTTAACTAAAACAGAATATTTTGGCCTTACAATATAAACCAGTTAGAGGCTTATATAAAAGTTTGATTTTAAATATATACGTAACAATTTTTAGCTTTATTATTTGTAAAATTAGATATTTTATGTTCAGTTCTATCGAAATTCCTTTAAGGATTTTTAGCCAAAACTGGATTTTTTAAATTGTGTAAGTGGCATGCTATTTAATGAAAATTTGCTTTAAATTTGAACAACCAAACTTTTGTTCATTTGTATTTCATTGTTTGCGTTTTAACATCATTTTCAATAAGATATGTTTCAGATGATAACCTAATCCTCCGAAATACATTTCAAAATTAGAATCCTAAGTATCGGATGATTGCTGTTGAACAATTTTAAATCAAGATAAAAAATGCACACTGAATTTTAAAAAAAAAAATTATGTTATTGCGTACATTTCACTACAATGTGTTTCAGAGGATAATTTAAATTTTCTGAAATACGTTTTAAAATTACAATTTTAAAATATCACTTGTTTTACTGCGAACAGTTTTAAACCAAAATAAATGGAAACTTGCTTCACTTCTTAGACTAAGAAAAAAATTGTTAAAGCAAAGTTTAAAAATTTAAAAATTTAATACATTCCTCCTTAATTTTTATACCTTACTTGAGTTTTTTAAATTTTCGTAGTCATATAGTACATATTAAGACATTAAAAATCATATTAAAATATGTGAAGATTAATTTTAAATCTCAGCATCAAAATTACTCTAAATGTTTTTGTTTTACTATTTCCTAATAGTTAACTGTAAATAAGAAAATAATTCACACTTATATCTCTCGCAAAATCGTGTCCTTTAAGATGAGATTTCACTTTATAGAAAATAAAATAAGCAGGTGAGTTGCCTAATCTGGTGGGTATGGAGAATAATTAAGAATACTTACGTATTACTTTGCTGTTTGAGGCAAAATTCGTTGTAGGATGGCATGTCCTTTTCTTGGCATTGCTTGGCTATTGAATATTGATGGTACTGGTTCCATGAAATAAAAGAAAGAATTCCATTAAAACTGCTTTCTCAAAATGAATGGAATCTTAATAGAAGCAAGTAGAGATTTGTCTGCAAGTATTGTTACTGTTTAAAGTCAAGCTTAAAATTTTATAGATGCATTGTACATACCTTTTTGAAATACACCTGAAAACGCTTAATTTCGTTGTCCATAAATCAGAGACAGTATTTTACACTGCATTTAATAATGAATTATTTACGATTTCTTTATGCATTACTATTGAAAGATTTAAGACAAATTTAAATGCGAACATTTATAGTGCTTCGATCAAAATAATACGAATAGATTTGCTTCAGTTAATAATGGAAACAAACGTACTATACTGTCGTAGATCGATACACATCATTAATCCATTCTTGGACGTATATTAGACTAATTTTTCCAATAAGAAATAAAGGGAAAAAAGTAAAAAATCAAGAAGCTTTCAGATTTTGTATTACGCCTAAAGAGGCGTTCCTTTTAACGTTTTGTGTGTTAACCTCATTTGTTAAATATCATGTTCTTCGCACTTGAACTATAAAATTCATTTCAACAGCAAAATCGCAAAATATTTAAAACAGCATATATTTAGAATTTTCGATACACAGTCTCGCGCTCTGGAGATAAAAATGTCCCCGCTCGTAGTGTTGCCACTACTGGCATTGAAATCGTTGAGTTTGTTAATCAAACATTCGTTAAAGTTTTACAAAATATGAAATAGATAACAAAAATTCCAAATTAGGGCTTCTAGATGCCCATATTCAAGTAGGGGCTAGGTTATTCAAAATTGGATGTCTCTAAGTACCTTCGTTTTCTCACAGTGCGAGAAACATACATTCATTCATCTAGATTCTTCATTATTTAATTTCTTTGAATATAACACAGGGCTCTAATATTTGGTGGCAACAATTTAGAAAGTGAAACGCCGTTTATTGTGAACCAACGCAAAATACCAAAACGAAATTAATAGCCCGTTTGGGCAAACTGCCTCTTTGGGCTAATAAAGGGAAAATAATTAATTTGTTTGTTAAAAAAATCCTCTTATTATTATAGCACTGTTTAAAACTAAAATACAAATACAGCGTGAAATGTGTACTGTACATAAATGAAGTACTGCACACGATACATAAACGTTTTTCTGATATCCAGATGAAAAGCAATTTTTCAATCTATCTGATCTTTGTTTTGTAATCGATTTCATTCCCCTTTGCAACGTTAGACGATTTAATAGCGTCTTTGTTTTTCAATCGCAGATACATCATCAAAATCAATATACAGTATGTAATAGCCAAGTTCCAGCTACGCATGCCATCTTCATGCTTCCCGACTATCTTTTTTGACCTTCATGGTGATCCTAACAATTTTCTTCGTTACATGACTTTTCTTATTAACTTTCCTAAACCTCAATGCTAATGAATATAACAACGTTTTACTTAAGAAAAGCGAAAATTGGTTTGGAAATTCAGTAGTAGGAGGTGCTGTGTACTAAAGAGTAGAAAAAGCTCTACACATGGCAGTCATAGTTTTGTCTCGAAAGAAATAAACAGGTCGTGAACATAATCGTGATGCATCAAATTCGAGTTGTATTCGAAACAATTGTCCTCCAAAAAAAAATTTCGCGTCCAAACAGTACATACCAAATCGACGTATTACCGAGCAACCACTGTTATTAGCAAACTGATATGTTTTTTTAAATGATTAATTTATTTTTTCATTCTGTAAAGCAAATTTCTGTAAGTAATGCATTTCACATACAGAATTTTTAAAGCTATCGAAGATAACGGTATTTTATATTTGAAATACGAAAACGAAAAGCACATATCAATAAGCAATTCACTGCACAATAGGAAGCGATTGTTCCTTATATATTTGCAGTGATTAAATTTGACGTTTGGTGCTGCTGATTGTGAGATTCATCCGGTGACATTTGACGTTTTCCTACTGTGTGTCCAAACACAAAATTCGTGTTGCATCTTCAAATTGTGATAATGTGATGTATCGTAACACTTTTCATCATTTCTTAATACGTACTGGATTGCTGAAAGCTGTTTAAGCAACTGCACTGTGCATTTCATTTGTGATCACCTGAAGATAGAATCATATGAACCGTTTACTTTTTCAAGGTAAATTTATAATTGGATAGCGTTAATAATACATGCACGTAATTTACAAAATAATATTTAATTCAAAAAATTAGTGTTTTTAGTCTTTTACAAAATAATTATTAATTAATGCATACGAACTATGCAAAGTATAAAAATCTTCATAAAAAATACAAATCTCATAAGGCCAAAGTCTCAGAATTGTATGTCTGCAAAATAATATAATACAAATACAAATCTCCAAATTCTTCTGAAATACCGCCCAAACTGGCTGCATTCATGTTCCACACCAGAGGTGAGACTCATTAGGGTTGTAGTAGTCTAATGTCTGTCTACGAGAACAGCTCCCGCCACAGTGTCTGGCGGGTGGCGGTCGTTATAGCAACACCGCTAGTATATTTCAAACAGGGGCGAACCAAGGGTTGCTTTACTGTATTTTGCTTTGGGCGACTGTTGGCTGAGGTGAAAAGAGTTATCATTTGTCTTCAAGACACCCCTAAGGAAAATGGGTCAAGGTGTGTTTCTACGGCAACAGACAACTGCAGACTAACTGGCGAGAGCTTTTCTTATGATAGACAGACTGTAACCGTAGAGGCGTGTTAATTAGTAATTTAATAGCTCTTAAACACTGCGTGTTTAAGAGCTATTAAATTACTAATTTTTATCACCCAATTTGCTAACCCCGCTCTCGAGATGAACCAGTTAATTTCATTTTGGACTTTAAGTATGGGAAATTAGGTTGGAAAATGTGCGAGGAAAAAAAAGCGATCGGTCGTATTTCGCTTTGTGCAGGTATCATTGTTGGACGCAATTTCTATTTCAGTAAAAATGAGAAAACTTTCACGTAGAATTTTATTGAAAACTAAAACATTTTTATTATGATTGCACAGCGGAAAGCACACGTTAAACGATCGCCGAGGGCCTGCCCGCGGGCATAGGTTTGGGAACCCCTGCTTTAAATATTTCTATAAAACTTGACATAGCGGGGGTAATGATAGAAAATTTCATCATTTTGTCTGGATAAAAGTTTGTCATAAAAAATACTGCAGCGCGATTTACGTTCGGCGTTATTGTCGTGGAGAAAGATGCTGCACATTATGTTTTTTCGCCTTTTTAAGTTTAAATCAATATTATTCATTTTATTTACTGTCGACACTGATCATTTTAATGATTTTGCAACTGTTCTTGACTTAGCGGATTTTTTTAACATTAAATATCCTACCTTACATTGCTCCAAACATCCGTTTTTTGCTTGGATATGTATTTGGAACAATTTTTTCACTTGAAGCCAAACTTTGAAGTTCTTTTTTCCTTTCTTGTTGACAATATTACCTGTCGCAGTTTTAGATATGGAAAAACACCATGCTGTCACACCGTTTTTTAATCACTAGATAGGAGTAACTGTCTTCGGAAAGAGCACAAACACAGCCTTCTTTAAAAGCGCCATTTTGCATGAAAACTCTGAAATAACCGTCAAATAGCAGGCGATAATTTAAACTTTAAAAAGCATAGTTGCAGTTAAAAGAAAAATTTCCAAGCAGGCGATTTGTTTTTATAGTAAAGCAAAATCGTCTAAAAATTTGGCAAACAGCCTTTGCAATTATTTTCATCTTCGAGGTACGCGATCAAAAATGTCTGGAAATCGCGCATCTAGATGTTGTTATTTATTCCATTTCAAACGACTGTTTCAATGCTTATACATATAAATCTCATCGAAATTGTAATCTGGACAACAAAAGTCATAAAGAGCGAAACTTTTAGAGCAATCGATACTTCATTTCTGTACCAGTT